GCCAATAAAACCGCAACACTAATCAAGGATAGCTGGTAATCAAGAATGAATGATAGGATGAAGAATTTCGAAAAACGAAGAGGGAAATATTGAGGGGACCAATGGCAGTTACGGAGCCCGGAATAACGAATTTTCTAGAAGTGTTAAGAAAGTGCACAGCTTAGACACCGTTCCGCCGGCTCTCGGATTCGTTAATAATCGGAATGGTTTAAAGTTACGAAGGAGTCTTACAGTAGATAACACCTAAAAACTAGGATGGAAATTTTGAAGATGTCAATGAATGCATTTAGTTAATTTTAATAATATTACTATTAACTAAAACTCTTCCGAGACAATTCATATAGGAGGAATTATATATCTCAACTTTGAATATTCAGTAGTTAGAGATTTTGTTGTGTTTCTTGTTATACAATTTCATTATATCAAATGCGGCATAAAAATGTTTTAAAATATATAACTAAGTACCTCCTAGTTCGATCGGATTATTAACCATATAAAGCAGTAAACAAACCTGAAATTAAAACGAAATACAGTTAGTTCACATGTAATATGCACTCTTACATTAACATATCTACATATATGTACATATCTCTATCTAAGTATGGCGCACATGCCATTTTGGACCAAATTCAAAATGATGCTGTTTACCACTTATATTTATTTATTAAATTTTAGGATTTTTCAATTAAGATACAGTTCACTTCCTCACAAATTTCATCCAAATTTCAAACTATTTTCTCAGAAATGAAAAATGATAATTTTGAATATGTTCCAAAATGGTATGTCCGACACTGTAATTATTGCAATTTTTGATATGTGAACATTCCTAGCAAATCTTATCAACAATTACAAATTATAATTTATTACACTTTTAAGAACATAGTTTGTATGTATATATTTTTTACTAGGTACGCGCAGAATAGTGCAGATTCATAAGCGAGTAAATGTTTGTACGAGTATACATTCGGTGTCAAATGTTAGTGTACACCTTGTTCTAATATAATATTTACAATTACTTTAATGGAGAATTTTTTTCATTAATTATTTATGAAAATATAGTCCATTCTGTAATTTAGGCGATATAATCAAAGTTTCACACTTTATATAAAGTTCACAAAAATTTATATTTCATAGAAATTAAAAAAAAAAAAAATGAAATCGGAATTTTTAGAAAATTTTCGAGCATGCAGTTTTGTAGCCCGCAAAGAGCAAGTTTAAGGTCGCTTAAAACTACCGTTGGTTTTTTAGTATTTTTTGTATGGATGATGTTGAGCGTTTTCTTCCATATAACGCATGATCAAAATCTCTTTTTATGTGGAAGTAAATACGCAACACTCTCCACAAAAAAAGAAATGTAAAAATGCAACGGTAATCTTTACCGACTTGAAACTTAGACTTTGTGGTACTAAAATTGAACGGTCTACAAAACTGCATACTGGAAAATTTTCTAGAAATTCTGAATAAAAATTTGAAATTTGCATGAAAATTTTTGGAATTTTATAAATTTTATAATGTGTGTGTGTTTTTTTTTTATATATTATATAATGTGTGAAACTTTGATTTATATGGTTTATATAACCGAATGAACTATATTTTCATAAATAAAATAATGAAAAAAAAATTCCATGAAAATAATTGTGAATATCAGGGGTCATCTCTGAGCCTTGCACGGCAATTGCACGGTGCACAGATTGCACGGTAAAAACCGGTTTTCGTATGGCACAGCTTTGCAAACCGTGCAATCCGTGCACCGTGCCAGGTCTTTTAAAGACTACGAGAATACCCCTATTATATTAGAGCAAGCTGTACACTTACATTTGACACCGACTGTACATAACCTTCTTCATTGTAGTCGCATTTATTTATTGCATTTGCTATCATATTTCATTATTAGTAAATGCTATGGGAAATAAATATTGTATGACGCATTTACAACTATATTTGCTTGCATTACCGAGTAGACAAACATACATACATACCGTTAGTATAGCATGGATCATCGCTGAAATACAAAAGGCCGTAACTAACTAAAAATCCGAAATTCATTATAAACACCCACATCGTTTTAAGCAATAAAAAAAATTTTGTTAGTTATGGCTGTTTTTGCATTTCAGCGGCGGTGTGAGATACGCCCTTTTCATACTATACTTACTAACGATACGCAGGAGTGTACGCCATAAATATATTTTGGTGCATAAAATCATATCTAACTGTGTATGCGATTTTATAATTTCTATACAACTCACACCCAATTAAATCAATATTTATGAGGGAAACTATCAAGAACTGCTGCAAAAAATTTTTCAAACACATTATCTACAATAATATATATATTTAGATAAACATTTACTTGATCAAGGAAAGTTTAGTTTACCTGTGGCGCACAGTGTTCAATATTGGGAAAGACGAACAAAATCAAATATCTTGAGAACGAGAAGAGGTACCGAAATAAATGTAGCGGTATTTTAAGGACTTAAAAATTGAGAATTCATTAAAAATAGTATCATTGGGTAAAAAAATTAGCTTCACCATTAAATGCCATTCAAATACATAATGTTTTAAATTGTTTCCTTTTTTGAGCTGAAACAATGGTTTTTAACCATTTTAAACATATATTTTTGCTGCTCTTGTGGTGAGGAATGCAATTCCATGGCCATAAAAACCGAAAAATGTATATAAATTATTTTCAAAGTTCATTGCATGCGTTTTTTATGTTACAAAATAATTATCCACCTCAAAATATATAAAATACCGTTACATCTGTTTCGCTATCCTTTCACGTTATGTTTTTTTTTCCAAAATGGAACACTGTGTAGTGTATAAAATTCAACAGAAAGGAACCGATATGGCGCCGTGTGTCTGTCGAGAATGTCAGAGTACTTAGATCGTAAAATATCTTTAGTAACGGTAGAAGCTATATCCTACAGAGTATGTCGACAGTGATAGATGATGAAAGTTTTGGTTTAAGCAGAGATCACTACAAGAATTACACTATCCACCCCGTAGCTTTAGCTCGAGCCGTCTATAAAGGATAAAAAAGCACACAGTCATGACGTTTTCTATTGGTTTTCTTTCGGTTGATGTTTTGTTCAAAACTATTGGAGAATCATCAGACGACGACCGCGAAAGAGATGATTGTTCAACTTGTTTTAATTTGTTTTATAATATTTTTGGGAGGGTTTTTTTGAAATTTGGATTTTTCGAATACCGGTTAAGCCGTCTTTTTACTAGTCTTGGGAAGTAAATGCCCGGATCCCGGCTAATGCTAATTTTCATTAATTTTCAAGCATCGAAAGTGATCATAACCGGAATATATTTATATGGATTTAAGTAAGCGTAGCTGTGCGTTTAAAGAGATCACTTCAAAATGTGCCGAAAGATTGTTTATTAGATGGCACATATTTACACAGGTATGTATGTATAATGTATATATATGAATATATGTGTACATAAACTACACTCTAAAAAGTGCATGTAAAACTACTATTGAAAAGTGTTTATTTTTTAACCAAAATCTGTGTAAATATACGCATAAAATGTTCAAGATTTGACTTTTGAACATGAGATGTTTAAACTGTACATACATATAACTATACACATGAAATGTTTAAAATTGCAAACATTTTGAACGTAAAAATACATTTTCTACTCAAAATAAACATTAAGTGCTCATATGTTATCAATTTTAAACATTTTATGTGTAATTTTGCTCTACGCGATAAATGATGATATGTAAAGGTAAACAGGAATTTTTTAATTTTATTAACACGGTGTGTAAATTTGCATAAATTAAGAGAGGAAACTGGTTACCTATCTTAATATGCGTAAATTTAAACAAACAATTTTTAGAGTGTAGATTTAAAGTGCTAAACGCTCTCTACCAGCATACGCACATACTACTTATTTATATGTATACAGATGTATGTATGTATAACTCCGGCTTAGCGCTAAACTTGTTTTTAGCCAAACTTACAGTTGTCCACAAAATAATATGAGTGCGATATTTTGACTATAATAATAATAATAACAGTTAACAGTTTTTTTTTTTTATAACAACTCTAAAAATTTTCATCGAACTTAAGAAAAATTGTATGGCCCATTAAATTTAAGTGGAATAAAATGCAAAGTTTGAAGTTGATAAAAAAAAGTCTCGCCGATTTTTGGCAATTTTTTATGTTGACGTCGCTGGGCATTTTCTTCCATATAATATAATAATTAGTCAAGCATACTTTGTATGCCAGAAAATGCGTGGCACCGTCAGCAAGAAAAATGCCTAAAATAAACGTGATTTTATAGTCTTTTGAAACTTGCACTTCATTATAGTAATATGTATAGACTACAGAACTACATACCTAAATGAAAATGAAATGAAATGAAATTTTTGCACAAAGTCGGAAATTTTGATAAATTTTTTTTATTAAATTATGAGCTATTCTTTTACAGAAAACAAAAAATTATAAACAAAAAAGAAATTGGTCAAAATTGCTCAAAATATCGCACTTCTATTTTTTCTGGGCAACTGTACGTAACTATGTACATATGTACGTGCATGTACAATATTTATTAGCATAAAAAAATAATGAATGAAGTTGCCCAATAAATTTAAAAAAAATTCTAAATATCATTAGTATTGATTATGAGCTTGTTTGTATGCGAGTGTATATATGTATATGTATTTAAGCACAGTAGTTACTCGCTAAATGTCCCTACTTGGCACTTAGTCTGTCGACAGAGGAGATTGTTTATCAGCATCATATTTCAAACTGTTAAAAGGCAATTTCTAGCTAGATCTGCTGGCGCCTTATACGCTATATTTGAGTATAAATTGCAGACATTGAGGGATTAAAGTTGTTCTGGCAGCAAGGTTTTTAGTTGCTAATGAAAACCCGACAACGAATGAGGAGAAAAGATAAAGGAGCTACGAGAAGCTCAATGAAGAGATACGAAGCTGGCTGTGGTTTATGATCGAATTATTTTGTGCTTGAAGACTCCAATTCCTCCTTTTCATTCTTGCAAAGTTGCTTACTCACTATAATTAGCCTAAGGAGGAATTTTTTATTTATTTTCAGTAAGCATGAAATTTAGTGATATGTTCGAAATAATAGTTAAGTACTGTCTATAGAAGTATTTACTTAGGTGATGTTATGCTGACGGTCACGGGCTGGATCGCTCATGAAAGGCGAAAGAAATTGAATCATTATTCGAAGAATTTTAAATCCATTAAATTTTATTAGAAATTTAAATACCTTCTACTTTTTAGATTTACTATGTTCTAACTTTATGCTAATTAATTTTTTTTTTCTGAATAACTGAATATTTCCCAAAAGTGCAAGTTTTCATTGCATGCAAAAATATAGCTTATTAAGCGTTTTGCTCTTAAATTAATATTTGTAAACCGGGGTTTCAAGTAACTAATACTATATTTACATATAAGTAGATCCTCCCCATTTTCGAGCTTAACTCCCTAATCTGTAATTAGAAAAAGAGATTAGCCATGCAAAATCGTGCCTC